CTTCGGATCTGTCGAATTTTCCCCGATAAAACTACAGATTTCAGGCGTCGAACCCCTTTTTTGAACGAGGTTACTTTTTCTTTGTGAAAATTACGAAACTCCTGGTGGTCACTTCAGAATCGATCGTTACATCCTCGCTTTCTGAGATTTATCAAATTTTTTCTGTCATCTGGTGATAAAACTACCCCTTTTCGTCAGTACGCGTTGCACAATTTTACCCGAAATACTCATTTCGTGCTTCACAGAGAAAATTCGTAATTACAATCAAGTCTCAAAGAATTCATCTCGCTTTCATAGCGGCGCGATTTAATGATTCTCGTTAGAAGTTCGAACTCCGACTACTATCAAAGGGGACGACGCGCATATTCGCATTCCCGTGCCGTGGAAAGAGGAATGTTCATTTTCTGTCGAAACAGAACGAAAAAGAGAGAAAAAAATCGCGAAAATAATCAGGTCTCGAGATGGAAAAGTGTATCTGATTTGTCGAAAAGGCGGAACGTTCCCTTTGGCAGTTTTAGGTAGAAACTGGGTGTTTGACGTTCACATCGAGCCACAAGCCGTCGAGTTCCCTTTAGTGTCTCGCTTCTGACATGTTATCTATAGGATTTGCGTCACGCTTTAATATGGCAACGGAAAGGGGGTTTTAATACGACGACGTACCCTTTGACAGTAATCTCTTTGTTCCTCGTTATAGTGGGGCTCTCGTTAGAAGTCAAGGGGGCGCTTCTCGTCGTACGACGAGAAAACTTTTCGCCGCTTCGGTTTCACCGCCTTTCAATCCTCTCACCACCCCTTCGTTCGTTTGGTAACAAGATAATTCGAGCGCGATCGATCATCGCGTTTTTCGCCGCGACCCGACCTCGTCCTCGCGCCACGGCCCAACTTTTTTTAAATCTCTCGCGAGTCATCGCGTGCCTTTAAAATTTCATTTACTCCGTGTACACGAGTCTCTCCTCGGTTCGGCAACGGCAACAATAAAAGAAATTTACAACATGTTTCCTCCCCATTTCTCTTCGTTTCACCCTCCGCGTTATCTTTCCTAAGACGTTCCTCCTGAATTAATAAATAAAACAATGCTAGAAATAAATCTTTTAGAAGATATTAATACATAGGTACTGTTAAAATATCGAAGAAGAAGCTCCAGAAGTGTTAATTATACTCGAACGTCCTCTTAAACGATTCTGTCAGGTGTCTAAAGGCCAACTAAGCTGACTTCTCTTACCTCGTTGACCGGCGAAAAAAAAGGGGGAAAAGATTAACAGAGATTGCTTGAATGGCTGAGACTTTTCCCACGAAGAAAGAAGGCTCTTCAAGCCCCGTTAATCGGCCGTTAAATCGAACAGCCGCGACTTTGCGCGTGTCACATCGATCACAGCCGGGGTGAGAAAAGTTCCGAGCCGGATAACCCGGGAGGTCCTCCGATTAATAGAACGGAGGAATCACGGGTGCTATGATTATGACGGGGCAATTATCCGTATAAATCCCCGAGCTGGCGAGATTAAATCGCAATTTTCCTACCAATTCGTTTCCTTTTTTAACGCCACTTAAAAGCCGTCGGGGCGGAGCGCGAGAAGTGACGCGTCGCACCGGGCTAATCTCGGCGAACAAAAATCCAATTTCAAAGTTCTCCATCGCACGGCACCAAGTTCCAAGGAAATCTCTGCCCCTCCTGCGAAAAGCCACAATATGAGTTGATAGCTGCGTACCCCGACTTCCCTCATAAGCTATGCATAGGAACGCGTGTACGCCTGTCAAAGTCGACCACGGAGAACAGGTTCGCGATTCCCATCGAGCATCCTCGTTGGAAAATTAAAATTCGCCCCGCGCGATCTTTCCTATTTTCGTTCCGCGTCTTCCCGCCGCGAACAGAGTACACCGTCTCTCTCTTTCTCACCGTCAACATCGTCCGATCGATTTTCCTTCGCGTCTCATCATCGCGCCCCTTGTCCCCCGGTAATTAATTGTTTTCATAATGGGACAGCGTTGGAGATTCGATTAAAAGTTCCGCCTTGATTCCACCGGACAGCGTACCAACGAGGCGACCAAGGAGGTTCCAGAGGAAATATCCACTTGGAAATATCAGCGGAAAAATCGATCTTTGCTCGGAGCAAGTGTGCGCCTCTTGTTAAACTTCCACGCATGTCGAACGAACGAATTCGAGGAAAGAGTTATCGATGAGTTTAACCCACTTTTTCAAAGTCGGCCCCCAGGAGACGAATTTCTTTTTTTTTTCTTTCTATCGAGAATTGAGAAAAGAGAACTCGTTTGGGAAGTGAAAAATTAACATTGTAGACACTTTTCCATGTGTGTGTCTACACTCGCTTTGTGGCCCTAGCTTGAAACCAACTTTAACGTTTAACCAAAGCTTTAAGCTTTAACTTTCATTTCCTTTAGAAACGATCTTATTTCCACGATTAGTTCTTCGGTAATAACATAATACGAATCCATGATGCGTTAAGCGGGGTTCTTCAAGGAGTAGCGGTCGAGAGAATTTCTGAAATAGCGTAGTTTTCCTAGAGGTATACGGATATTTTTCCACGTGTTTCTCGTTGAATTGGAGAATTTCGGGGCAAAAGTTGAGGGGAATTTAATTCGTCGTCACGTCGAAGATGGGCAAGAAAATGAATGGAGGGCGAGGAACAAGTGGGACGAGGCTAATCCACGTGATAAAGTCCAGTCGGCGTAGCTTTAATTGCGTCTCGCCTAATTCCAACAGGGTCTCCATTGAAATTTTCCACGAAGAACTCGTGGAAACGGGTTAAGACGAGCCACCGTTCGCTTCATGCTTCAGCGAACGAGCTAATAGCTCGTTCCTTTCGACTATCTGCCGCGGAATGGTTATTATACCACGGTTGTTTCTACTTGTCTGACTAGATTTCTATGTTACTACTACTTGCGCGACCAGGTTGGATCCAGTTTTCGTTCATCGGCGTCCTGGAATTTCTCTTTTCATCGTCTTGTTACAGTTTCGACACTTCGATGACAGAATGAATTGTACTTTGGCTTATTATACGAGAATAATACGAGAGAATGAAATATCGATGCTTGGTAAGGTGTTGACATTGAAAGATTTGGACGAAAAGTAGTGTAGATCGAGCTGTATCGTTACGAGAGCACAGTTGGACGTGTCACATGCGTAACAGACATCGCTATTTTCAATAGACAGCACCTTGTAAAAAGCGAGGTCTTAGCCGGCATGGGCAAATTACTTTATCATACCAAAAATTCGACGACTCTCACACCTGGACACCACATGCCCTAAGCAATAAAACAGACCTTCGACATCACCAATTTTCAGACAAGCAATATAACAAATGTAAGAACAAATTCCCCACTTTCACACCACCAGCAGACACACCCCAAACACACCGAAAAAACCTTCCACCACCTACGACAGTTTTCACACCACCAATCACAACACACACGTAGTTTATAAAATAGCGAACACCACACGATACGACAATTTTCCTATCAGTAAGCCTAGAAATTTCGCGCTCTGCACAACGTTCATTCACAAATATATAGTTTTAACAGCAAACTGTTGTGCATTAATAATCTATATTTCGAGCACTACCTGAGTCCCCTATCCCGAGTAGATTCCTTAAATGGTTTGACTCAAAAAGAAGGACAATTATCGCGATTCGTAACAGACGATACGAAACGATTGTACGTTCGTTATCAAATAGTATTCTTGATAGTGCGCTGTCGTGTTATCTACAGTGTCTAACTGAATCCTCTGGCTCAATGTTGTCAGACAAATGTAGCGCACATCTGTTCAGGGATCCCAGTTTATGACGTAATCGTGTAACAAACTGATTTGCTGTGATTACCGAAGCTTGTGTGATTAATTGACGCTGGTTAATTGACGAGCCAACTGTGTGTATGTAATTTATCGTACAAATTGTACATCTGCTTTCCATCGCGAAATATTCCACATTAAAAAGGAAAAGAAAGAAGTATCGATAAAACGAAGTTAGAGTCTACTACGGAATTATTCATACGTAAATTACAATTGTAATTGGAAAGGTTCGTTGTACGTATCGAGATTTTTAATCGAACATTAAAATTCAGAAAGATCGCACTGTTCATTATTTGATAGCTTAATCCTCGATAGAAAACGCCGGTAAAGCTGGCCGGTGTACGCGGGTAAACAGCTTTCATCCCTCCGGCAACAAAGTATACGTCGTTAATTTCCGCCTCTCGGAAGCATCGATCTCCCTATTTTCGACGCAACATTTCGCGGGTATTCTTCGCGCCACGGTCAGTTTGCTCCCGGTATTGTTCGCCGAAACGTGTAATTCTGCCGCTTCATTCGTCGCCGGGAGCGCGTGTTATATGTATATACGGGAGGAAAAGTTGCTCGAGCTCGTTTGTTTCCAGTCGTTCGGCCATCAATGATTGTACCCAAAAAAGCCCCCGATTGCAGGCTTCCGCTGTTTGCGGGACAATTCCACGAAAACTAGGATAAAACTAATTCGTAATTACTCGCTCCGTAGTAACGGCAACGGGATCGTAAATCGTCCGTGCAATAATGGCGCTCTGGCGCGGTGCGCTGGCAATTTCAGAAAAGTTACGTTTCAATGCTTCTCCCTTCGAGAAAATTCAATTAGAACCAGCGTTTCGAGCGAAACTATGGAAAAAAACATTATTACCGGTGGTTTTAACAGGCGAAGGAAGGAGAAGGGAAAAATTGGGAATGAAGATGCGTTATCGTTGCCTTCGCTTTCTCAAGAAACGAACTAGTGTGGAGTGTGATTGTCCGGGAGAGAATGGAGAGGGTGCATGTTTAAGTGACACAGTGTGGTGTAAGATTTTTAAACCGTGGAAGGAAAGATTGTGCGAGGAGAATTCAGTGTGGAAACAGCAGTTGACGTAAACATAAATTATTATCTCCGAACCTCGATCACAATTCCGAATTAAGATCCCCCACAATTTGCACGAGATTGCGATGAAAATGAATTACGAAGGAGGGAATTACTCACCTCTTTGGCGACCATCATAGCGGTGGGCACGTACTTCATAGAACCGCAGATGATGCCCAGTTGATAGAGGGCGAACACCAGTAGAAGCCCGACGAAGCATATGATGGGCCCCTTCCGGCCGCCACGGCTCAGCAGAAACGACATGTCGTCGTTACGTACGACGACCACGTCACTCGCGTGCACGTACCTGGACGTGTTTTAGGCGACACGTGGCCGAGCACCGATCCGGTCTGCACAGCCTGCGTGCTGGTCACGCCGGGCTGCTACTCGAGGCCAAGGTTTCGGGGCCTCGTGTTCCCGGTTACGCCATTAGCTCATTGCACCTGTTCAACCAGAGGGAAAATCTGATTAGCTGACAGACTGCCAACACGGTGTTTAAATTACTGCAATCTGATTGCAGATAAGGATTATAGATAACATCGGAATAGATCAAAATTGCAACAGTTACATTTCTTCCTACGTTGATACAGTGTATAACAGTATTTGTCGATATGCAGTGTTTCATTTTCTTTTTCTTCTGTTTTTTTCGGTCAACTTTATCGATATGTTTTATGGATATAAGTGAGAAAAGAACTTTATGTAGATGTAGGACGTGAAAATTGGGACACCCTGTGTCGTACAGTGGGTTTTGGTGCGCTCGATCAAGGGAGAAAGAAGATTATGGGAGTATAATGGTGTGAAAGGGGTGATAGAGAAATTCTGGAGGCAAAGATATTGAATATCTCCGGTGTACCGTTGATATAAACAGCGGAATAAATCGCGAGATCCTTGCTGGAGCTTTTGTTTCACGAGGCTGTACTCGTGAGAGATATACCATTAAATCGATCTCCTAAATCACTGCGGTTCCTGTGGATTCTGCCCAGTCGAACCTGAATATTTACAACGCGATAAACGATTTCTCATCGGTGGACAGACCCGATGCGCTTCATGCATTACCTTGGTGCTCGTCGATTTTACGAAAAATATACGAGACACTAAACCTTATAAACAGTTTTCCATAATCTTTCGTGTCGTCACACGGTATTTCTATGAAATTTAGGTATTTCTCTTTTTTCTCTTTCGTTCGCGAGATTAAGTTGCCGGAAGAAATAGCTGCTACGATCGATCTCCTATACATTTATCTCGGAGAAATCGGAAATCCGTATGCGAGTCGTCATAATTTTCATTTCGATGGCTGGTTGCCACCAGAACAAACCTTCGAACGGTTCCTTGAGCGAGCTTTTGTGATTTAGCTGTGCTCCTCTTCCGTTTCACAGGCCTTTTGTCTGACGTAATTTATGGATCTGACCAGGAAGCTTCCGCGTAAGAATCACCGTTGCATTAGCGCGATAAATCCTCGCTAGATTATCGAATACCGACGTTCGATGTCGATGTTAGCCAAAGGTATAGGGAAGAAAAGACGAACAAGCTTCTTATGGATCTGACCAGGAAGCTTCCGCGTAAGAATCACCGTTGCATTAGCGCGATAAATCCTCGCTGGATTATCGAATACCGACGTTCGATGTCGATGTTAGCCAAAGGTATAGGGAAGAAAAGACGAACAAGCTTCTCTCTCTCTCTCTCTCTCTGTGATCTGTTTGAGCAGCGTACGTCGTGCAATATATAATCTGTGTCGAATCGATAGACCCTGTGAATAGGAGAAGACGAAGAAGAAAGAAACGTGATCACGAGGGTAAAATGGAATTTCCTAAAGAGGATTTCGCGGCGGTTGGCTCGTCGGTGAGCAACTTGTTAATAACGTCGTATTGTGTGCTTAAAGAGTTTCCAATACTTGGCGAAGATAAGCTTGCAAATTTCGTTAGCAAGTTTGTTAGCTACGTTTATTCGATATTAGCCGGGGCTAATGTATAAGTAATGAAATTGGAACGTGCCAGAGATCGAGGAAGGGGTTAAGGGAACGCGACGGGGTAGAGATTCTTCTGGAAACGATGCCACGGGATTCAGCCGCTACTTCAACTGAGAGAAACACGAGAGAGAAACGTGCAAAAAGGGGGTGTAAGAGATCCGTATCGGGCCGGATGGTCAACCGGTGATTCGTGAAACGCAGTCGTCGTCGTCGTCTAAAAAGGGGGAGAAAAAGAGGAGAGAGAGAGAGAGAGAGAGAGAGAGAGAACGAAACGAAAGGAAAGAAAAACGAGCGAGCGAAGGATCAAAAAGAAGAGCATAAGGGGGATGAAAACGGAAGAGGAAGTCCGTGCAACTGGGTCGTATATATGAGCGACCTGTATCTATTTTCCGGCGACAGCTTTCAAGGAGAGCTTTCCATTTCGCGCCTCGCCTCGTCTCGCCACGCCTTTGACCTCTCTTTTTCTCTCAGCCCTCCAAGTACACCTTTCCTCCAGCGATGAAAGATGAGGACAATCGCCACATATTGCTGGCTGCTCCGTGCTACGCTCCAATCTAACCGTCCCTCTCAGCCTTAAATCTACCCCGCCTCTATTTCACCACTCGGAATAAAGCATCACCTCGTTTCCTTGTACCAACACGATTGTTTTCTGGATTGGACGACTCTCGCCGTAACACGTTACTCCCTCAAACTGAACGGAGACGGGTAATGAACTGTTCTGGGAGTGGGGACACTTGCTACCCTTCATTTATACCAATCGTAGATGCTCTTTTCCTTTTTAATTTCATTGATATATTTGCACGAAGCAATTTGTCCAAATTTACTACGATTTCTTGAAAGAAGAATAGTCGCGAAAGTTTAATTCCGCAAGTTGCAGATATCGTTACCCGATCGAGATGTTTGCGTTTCATCAATGGCTATCGGTAAAAAGTGTCGCGTCACCGCTCCGCAGGAGTAGTTTTAATTTAAACGTTCCTTTATTCCTGATTCCGTGGGGAACGTTCCATTAGCGAGAGCACGTTGAAAGTTTAAGCCTGGTCGCCTAAGGGCTCCGGTTCTCTCATGTTGTTACGCTTCGTTCCGCGAACCGCTCGCATTTTTAACCCTTTCTCCGTACTCGCGGAAACGCAATTCCGACCGGACCTCGTTTCTTACTTTTATATTTATGCCGCTTTTAATATCCACGGAGGGGCTACGGTTTATTGCAACGTGGCGTGCATTCGTGCGCGATTCTCTCCGTTGAATTCGGTGGGAAAACGAGGCCGACTATCAATCCACGTCCGACTGGCCTTCTCTTGTTCTTCAAACCTACGCTTTTCCATCGAACTAACGTCGATACTAGGGTATAGCCTCCGTTTAATACGTGGAACGGTAAAGCTTCGTGAACACGGAAATTTCTTCCCTTCCTGCGTTATTCAAAGGAAAATTTATGGAAGACCTCGTTGAAAATTCTCGTGATCCACTGTACTTTTGCTCCGATCGCGTGAACTCGCATTGTAATTTCCACGAAAAAGAGTGCGAACTGGGAAAAATCGCGTGTTCGTCTATGATCCCGCGGTCGTTGCATTATCGACAACCAGAAACTACGAAATCACGCGGCATTGCTTCGCGGAAAAATATGGCAAAAAATTCACTTTAACCAGTAAAACTGCGTAATTATGGAAGCTCACCGTGGAGATCGCCATTAACGACACGACGTTAATATAAACCTAAACGCTGGGTGATGGGTACAAAGCGAGCTGTAATCAACAATGAACCTGGCTGATGGTCCATCGTAGGACAATCAAAGCTCGACCCTGTCGAGTCTGCAAAAGCGCGCGATCATAAAGGCAGCCGGGAGCTTGTATAACACGGAGGTAGCGAGCGTAGAGGGAAAAGCAACAATATGTCTAGGTGCCAACGACCAAACGCTATCGTAAACATCGATCTGCCAGCGTCCAGTGGTACACCGGTGTTCCGAGCAGATAGCAAAATCCCCCCTGGTATCAATTTTTCTACGGCGACTCTACGGTGTCGTAGACAAATGTCGAATTTAAGATAGGTGCAAGGGAAGGAACGACCCTCGATATCGACGCCGTTCACAGGGTTACGTCTCGTAAACGAAACTTGCTGCTACCAGCGAAAGAACATTTCACGAGCAAGGGGGGGGAAGAAAGTTTGAAAGGGTGGAACAGATTCGACGGAAACTGAACAACATTGGAAATTCTAGCTCTCCCCTTGATAATATTGAAATCACACACCCAACTTCGTCTAACGAGCTTTTCTGTTGAAAAAGATGCTGTAAATCTGTGAAACGCAAACTGAGAAGCGAGAAGTGTCAGACAGGGTAGGTGAAAATTCGCGTGCCGCGAGGAACTCCCAGCGCGGCATGCGATTCCGTGAGAAATCGAGGCTTGGTAGAAGAACACTAGGGTCGAAAGTTCCACGCACCCTTTGTCTCGACAGTTTATCGATCCTTCGACACGTTCCTCTCCCCCTGAGGAATTCTCAGGGACACACGAATACCCTCGAGTTTAATGAAAGAACTTCGATACCGCGATCGTCGTTTCGATATTCCGATAAAACGCTCCTATAGACCGTTCCCAATCTGGTAGAAGAAAGGAGAACTGTCAAATATATAATTGCTCGAACCTAGCTTTACAGTAGCTTCTTCTTCCGTTACTTCTTTCTTCCGAAGTACAGTTAATAGAAGTTTACTATCGCGGCTGGAGGAACTAAATCGTGAGAAATGATACACGCGATAGAGTTCGTGTGATTCGGTTGTTGCAGAGGTTTAAAAGGAGTCGGGCTTATGGCCAACAAGTTCGGTCTGAGCGAAACTCTCGATCCTGAGAGCTGTACGACAGAAAGTACACGCTTAGATAGTGGATAAAAGCGTTGGAAGACGCGACGTAACGTTTCGAACGGGCGGCCGCGCTCGGCTGTTTCTCCACTCGACTTTTCCGTGACAAACGTTTACCGAACGAGTTACACACGGCGCAGCACGGTTATTTCCTCTCGAAATATAATCGCGTTAGCAGCTTGGTAATTGGATTCCATCTGGTGGCGGCGGTGGGCGTTTTCCCTTGGACCGCGCGTGAAAATTCGCAAGGTTCGCGTTGAAGCGCGAAAGGGTAGAGGAGAGAAACGATACGATCCGTTTTGGTCGGCTATTTAAATTTCTGCAGAGAGGAATTCAGCAAGTTCTCGGTGTCGCTTTGTGTCACATTGTGCGAGGGCCTCGAGTTCCTTGGGTGAACGAGCGGACGTGAATTCTCGTAAGTTTAATGAAAGAAGTTTGCCACGGGGAACTTTAAGC